GTGCCCTTGCCGCAGCATCTTGGCTGAGCGGGCCCGCGCGCTTGCGTGTGTGAACGTCGGATCCAGTCGGAGTTGCCATGGCGGAGGACTTGAAGCTGTCGCGAGGGGACAAGCCAGAGCGCAAGTGGTTCGAGAACCCGTTCACCTGGTGGCAGGGAACGAGCCTTGCCTGGAATACGAAGATCCCGATTTGGACGGGCTCTGGTGAGGCTGAGGGTCTGTCCGAGCTCTTCGTGGACAACTTGGGTTCCTTGTTGGGAACGACCGGCGCAGCAGTGGGCCACATCGGCTATGGTATCGTGGGCACGTTGGGTGCATTCGCCGCCGTGGGCATGTCGGACGGTTCGAGCTACGCCACTGCCATCGCCCAGGAGTGGGAGAAGGTTTATTTCTCGCGCAACATTCCGGGATGTGCCTTCGCCCTTCTGTTGGGTAACCTCTACTACGCCTGGCAGTGTGGGCGCCTGGGCAACAAGGAAAACCGCGAGGACGTCACCGCCCAGCCGTACGGCATCAACACTACGGGCGTGTACATCACCCTCTACGCCATCAATCTCGAGGCTTTGATCTCTGCCGGCTTCATCTATCTGCCGGGTCCACTGGCTTCGGACGCTGACATTCGCCAGGCAGCGATCAATGCGGCAGACCACGCATGGAAAGTCTCCGTGGCCGCCAACTTTCTTCTTGGCATCTTCGAAATGCTTGGAGCCTTCGTGGGCGAGAGCATCCGCAAAGCTGCTCCCGTCGCCGCTTTCTACGCGCCCATGGTGGGCGTTGGCTTCGTGTACCTTGCCTTCGTTCCGATGCTGAACATCGCCATGGAGCCCATGGTCTGTCTGATTCCACTCCTCATCGTCTTCAACGGCTTCTTTGGAGGTGTCCGGTACCACGTCTTCCGGAAGCTCACCATTCCCATTGGCATCTTGGCGCTTTTGGCCGCAGCCATCGCCGGATGGTCGGGAGGCTGCGCACGCGAGGCTGGAACGCTTGGGGCGACAAAGTACGGCTACACTCTGCAGTACTTCGATTCTACCAAGGTGACCTGCACCGGCACGTCCCAGGCAGAGGCCCAACGTGCCTGGGACACCTACGCCTTCCAGGACAACGTGCTCTCCGGCGCCGTCTTCGTGGGCTTGGGCGGCTTCTCTGAGATCGGCAGCTTCATCACCACGCTCTTCCTGGTGGGCGTGGTGGGCTTTGTGGGCACCATGAGCTGTGTCGAGAGTGCGTCCGCTGCCGGCGACGACTACCCCATGGCAGAGACAATGATCGTCGACGGCGCAGGCACCTGCATCGGTGCGCTCTTCGGGTCCTTCTACTCCACCACCGTGTACATCGGCCATCCGATCCACAAGAATCTGGGCGCCAAGCGCGGGTACAGCCTCATCAACGGCATCCTCTACTTCATCCTGCTGCTCAGTGGGGTGTTTGCAGCGCTCTACCAGTCGCTTCCAGAGTGTGCAAGTGGTTCCATCTTGGTCTTCGTCGGTTTGATCCTGGGTCGGCAGGCTTTTGAGGAGACGCCGGCACGGCACTACCCAGCGCTGCTGCTGAGCTTGTTCCCTTACCTCTGCAACTGGGCCAAGCTTGGCAATGCGAACGAGGGAATCCAAATGATGGGCCAAGCTGGCGGCCTGATGTTCAGTGTCGTGATCACCTGGCTCTTCTGCCTCTGCATCGACCGTGATTTCCTGAAGGCTACGATTCTTTCCTTTGCCGCCATTTGGCTATCTCTCTTCGGTTTCTTTGCGAGCCACAATGCGCCGAATGACAGCGTGCCCCCAACCGAGGGCGACGAGAAGATCGGGTTTTACGGAAAGGAGGACCACGAGTACAACAACGGCTGGCGTTGGGCCGTGTCCTGGACATTGGCGACCGTGTTCTTTGCGGCGCATGTCGGCTTGCAGCGGGCGGGGATCATCCAGGGCCCGTATGGCGAGAAGGACAGCGAGGTGCAGAAGATCGAGGCGTAAACGATGTGAAACAGCCTGGAGTTTCACGTGACCAGTCACACGCTGCTCGCAGTCTGCAGTCTGTGGTGAGATTTCCCTCTTGCAGTTTGGCGAGGGCGCCGCAGGCGGCTCTTTTTCCCACGGAGGGTCAAAGGTGGAGCTTCAAGGCCCTCCTGTAATGTTTCGAAGAGCTTGCATCCCGCACGGTCCGCATGCGGAAGCCGTGCGAGGCTGTTCAGAGCTCAACGTAACTACGGATTTAGGTCCTGCCAAGCAGACCGCTGTACAAGTGTCTTTTCAAGATTTCCAGAGGTGTCATGCTACCTGGAGCATTCCCCAACGGACGTCTACAGACCGACTGAATCGACTGCGACGAAGAAAGCAAGTCCTCACTGTGCATCCAGTATCCGAGGCATTCGCGGGGATGTAGAGTTGTTGTCAATTACTGTAGCTCTGCTGGTGCTGCCACAGCTTCTGCTCAGACCTGATGCGAAAATGATGCCCAGAAGTCTTCTGTAACCTGTCCAGAGGCCTCAAGGCGCAGAGGGCAGAGGATGTAGGAGCTAGAAAAGGCTTATAAGTACCTGAATTGGGGTTATAAGTATAGTTACCCTAACTATAACCCTAGTTACTAAGTCCCATGATCCTTTAAGGAGGCATGTTAATGTTGGAGTACAGGCAGGCTCTGTTGCAGAGTCACCTACCCCTACCCTTCTAACTTTCCCAGAGATTGGGGACATGTTGGACCAACGTGGAAGCCGGCAAACCCAAGAACCAAAGAGTGAACCCAATCCTGATCGCAAGTGGGAAGCGGAAACCCGAAGCCAAGCGAAAGCCGACAACCTTCCAATGTGAACCCGTAGCGAAAACCAGTAAACGAGTCTGCCCAACAAGGCCAAAATCGGAGACAGAAGGTTGTAAGGAGTGAACTCAACCCCAAGCTCTACGCAAGCAGTGAACCCAGCCCACCAAAATCCTCAAACCAGATATCTAGAACCCTGAGTTGCCGAAGTGAAGCCAGAAGCCCCCAGCGCCCCAGCGACCTGAAGGCTCAGTTTAGATCTGTCGTGCTCCCAGAGACTCCAATACCCCTTAATGAAGGAGTATTCCTCAAATCATATCAAGGATCCTACTATAATTTAAGGTATATTCCTTAAATCATATACTATAATTTAAGGAATATTCCATAATTAAAGGGTTTTGGAGTCTCTGGGGGCTTCTGGCTTTCCTCGGCGAGGCTCTGTGGCCGCTGGACTGGAGAGGGTGTGGACTTGTCGGGAGACGCCCACAGGGGCCGGGGGCCCCAGGCGCGACATTTACATTTGTCAGGTTTGGGAGTTTCCGAAAATTAGGGGTACCTTATGTAGGGGTCCTTATAATAAGGATCCTACTATTTAGGGTCCTATATTAGGGTCCCCTATTTTCGGAAACTCCCGTTTGTGGCTCAAGATGAGGCGGGGATCCTTTCGCACTTTGTGGATCTCTGTCTCTCTGCTCGTTCCTCTGTTTGGGTTCTGTTCGTCTCTTCTGATTTTCGGCACTACCTTCTTGTCTTTAAGTGGCCACATGGCGCAGCTAGGTATTTCCCCATCCTCGTATCAGCTCACAAGCGGCGTGCAGGCTTGCAATCCTACACCCTTAATCCTGCACAGAAAGGCCTTCACTGTTCCTGATTCCTTGACTCCTAAACTTAAACTACAAAGCCCAAATCCACCAGACTTTAGGGGCTACTTGGAGGATCATGGGACTTTGTAAGTAAGGTTATAAGTACCTTAATTGGGGTTATTATAAGTAGCTATAAGTATAGTCGCCCTAATTATAACCCTAGGTACTGAGTCCCATGATCCTGTAAGTGCAGGCTTGCAACCCTAAGCCCTGAAACCTAAACCCTAAACCCTAAACTTGCAGCCTCAAGTCTCGCCACCCCTGCGCTGAAGTCAAAACTATACCAAACCGGAATGGGGGGTTTCCGAACATGGGGGGACCTTAATATAGTACCCTAAATGATGGGGTCCTTAGTTTAAAGGACACCAAGAATGTACCCCGAATTTTCGGAAACTCCCAAATCAACCGTAAACACCTTTGCGTGTTGAGGCTTTCATTTCTGGGACGGATCCTCGCTGAGGGCGCGGCTCTAAGCTCAAAATTCGCTTCTGTCGGTGCCCGATTCAGTACTCCTACAGTTTGGAGATCTTCCAAGATATCCAAGATCGCTTAGTTAAATTATAGTAGGATCACCAACGGGAACTCCTAAGTTGCAAGTTCGACGTTTCGGCGTCGGTGCAAGGGCCCACAGTTCGCGAAGAGGTTCCGAGGCTGGCTGGTCTTCGGGAAGCTTCACTTGTCGTCCTCGCTACGGTCCGAGCCTCTTCGCCCCAAAACTACTGGAACCAGACAGTTAGTGCAAGGGCTCTACAAGCCCACAAGGAAATCAGTATACTTGGGTGCTTTAGGGGTTCTAGATGGGTCTATGAGTCTATCGACTTCACAAATCATGATTATTAACGAGTTTGCGTCCTAGGGTTTAGGACATTACTCAACCATCTAAACCCAATATGGAACTCCAAAAAGGTAGGGTTTGGTAGGTCACGGGAACCCTCAGCCGATGAGTGTTTTTTAGGGGACTTCGAGCTCCAACGCCAGGGCCGAAATGCGAATAGTGCCCCGTTTCGGTGGTCTTCAGAATATCTTCATATTGAGTATCTTGTGAGTATCAAGAATTGAAACTTCTTCTAATCCTACGAGATCCTATGAGTACCTTGTTCGTGTCTTATCAGTATTTGAATGGTGATGATTCAGACCTTTTCATTCGCCCCTCAAGCATCAGCTCGCGGAGGTGATGCTTTGCGGTGAAGTGGGCCGTTCTGGAGGCGCCTGATGCCAACATGTGTGTAGGTCGAGGCAGACATTCCTGTCTTGCAGTTGAACCGCCGGTTTAAGCCAGCACCTCGAGGCACGTGTCAACATGGCAGTGCCTTTGTCGCAGCATCTTGGCTGAGCGGGCCCGCACGCGTGCGTGTGTGAACGTCAGATCCAGTCGGAGTTGCCATGGCGGAGGACTTGAAGCTGTCGCGAGGGGACAAGCCAGAGCGAAAGTGGTTCGAGAACCCGTTCACCTGGTGGCAGGGAACGAGCCTTGCCTGGAATACGAAGATCCCGATTTGGACGGGCTCTGGTGAGGCTGAGGGTCTGTCCGAGCTCTTCGTGGACAACTTGGGTTCCTTATTGGGAACGACCGGCGCAGCAGTGGGCCACATCGGCTATGGCATCGTGGGCACGCTGGGTGCATTCGCCGCCGTAGGCATGTCGGACGGTTCGAGCTACGCCACTGCCATCGCCCAGGAGTGGGAGAAGGTTTATTTCTCGCGCAACATTCCGGGATGTGCCTTCGCCCTTCTGTTGGGTAACCTCTACTACGCCTGGCAGTGTGGGCGTCTGGGCAACAAGGAAAACCGCGAGGACGTGACCGCCCAGCCGTACGGCATCAACACTACCGGCGTGTACATCACCCTCTACGCCATCAATCTCGAGGCTTTGATCTCTGCCGGCTTCATCTATCTGCCGGGTCCACTGGCTTCGGACGCTGACATTCGCCAGGCAGCGATCAATGCGGCAGACCACGCATGGAAAGTCTCCGTGGCCGCCAACTTTCTTCTTGGCATCTTCGAAATGCTTGGAGCCTTCGTGGGCGAGAGCATCCGCAAAGCTGCTCCCGTCGCCGCTTTCTACGCGCCCATGGTGGGCGTTGGCTTCGTGTACCTTGCCTTCGTTCCGATGCTGAACATCGCCATGGAGCCCATGGTCTGTCTGATTCCGCTCCTCATCGTCTTCAACGGCTTCTTTGGAGGTGTCCGGTACCACGTCTTCCGGAAGCTCACCATTCCCATTGGCATCTTGGCGCTTTTGGCCGCAGCCATTGCCGGATGGTCGGGAGGCTGCGCACGCGAGGCTGGAACGCTTGGGGCGACAAAGTACGGCTACACTCTGCAGTACTTCGATTCTACGAAGGTGACCTGCACCGGCACGTCCCAGGCAGAGGCCCAACGTGCCTGGGACACCTATGCCTTCCAGGACAACGTGCTCTCCGGCGCCGTCTTCGTCGGCTTGGGCGGCTTCTCTGAGATCGGCAGCTTCATCACCACGCTCTTCCTGGTGGGCGTGGTGGGCTTTGTGGGCACCATGAGCTGTGTTGAGAGTGCCTCCGCCGCCGGCGACGACTACCCCATGGCAGAGACAATGATCGTCGACGGCGCAGGCACCTGCATCGGTGCGCTCTTCGGGTCCTTCTATTCCACCACCGTGTACATCGGCCATCCGATCCACAAGAATCTGGGCGCCAAGCGCGGGTACAGCCTCATCAACGGCATCCTCTACTTCATCCTGCTGCTCAGTGGGGTGTTTGCAGCGCTCTACCAGTCGCTTCCAGAGTGTGCAAGTGGTTCCATCTTGGTCTTCGTCGGTTTGATCCTGGGTCGGCAGGCTTTTGAGGAGACGCCGGCACGGCACTACCCAGCGCTGCTGCTGAGCTTGTTCCCTTACCTCTGCAACTGGGCCAAGCTTGGCAATGCGAACGAGGGAATCCAGATGATGGGCCAAGCTGGCGGCCTGATGTTCAGTGTCGTGATCACCTGGCTCTTCTGCCTTTGCATCGACCGTGATTTCCTGAAGGCTACGATTCTTTCCTTTGCCGCCATTTGGCTATCTCTCTTCGGTTTCTTTGCGAGCCACAATGCGCCGAATGACAGCGTGCCCCCAACCGAGGGCGACGAGAAGATCGGGTTCTACGGAAAAGAGGACCACGAGTACAACAACGGCTGGCGCTGGGCAGTGTCCTGGTCGTTGGCAACCGTGTTCTTCGCGGCGCATGTCGGCTTGCAGCGGGCGGGGATCATCCAGGGCCCCTACGCCGAGAAGGGCAGCGAGGATGCGAACAAGATCGAGACGTAAACAGATTCAAAAAGAGCCTGGTGTGCCAAGGGACTGGTCACGACGGTGCTCGCAGTCTGTGGTGAGATTTACCTCTTGCAGTTTGGCGAGGGTGCCGCAGGCGGCTTTTTTCCCACGGAGGGTCAAAAGTGGAGCTTCAAGGCCCTCCTGTAATGTTTGCAAGAGCTGGCATCCCGCACGGTCCGCTATGCGGTGACTGTGCGAGGCTGTTCAGGGTTTGTTATCATTTATGCTTGTGGTCCTGCCAAGCAGACCGTTGCAGACCCAAGATCTACTGAAGCGACTGCGACGAAGAAAACAAGTCATCTTTGCATAAGTTGAGGACTTCGTGCAGCTGTACTCGCAGCGAGCATCTACTGGGAGCCCATAAATCGACTTACAGCTGCAGCCGTACAAATTCATGACGCTTTTGCTGCGGAGGCGGCGCTGGGCCGAATCAAATCTTCATTTGCAAGTGCCTTTGCCGCAGCATCTTGGCTGAGCGGGCCTGCGCGTGCGTGCGTGTGTGAACGTCGGATCCAGTCGGAGTTGCCATGGCGGAGGACTTGAAGCTGTCGCGAGGGGACAAGCCAGAGCGAAAGTGGTTCGAGAACCCGTTCACCTGGTGGCAGGGAACGAGCCTTGCCTGGAATACGAAGATCCCGATTTGGACGGGCTCTGGTGAGGCTGAGGGTCTGTCCGAGCTCTTCGTGGACAACTTGGGTTCATTATTGGGAACGACCGGCGCAGCAGTGGGCCACATCGGCTATGGCATCGTGGGCACGCTGGGTGCATTCGCCGCCGTAGGCATGTCGGACGGTTCGAGCTACGCCACTGCCATCGCCCAGGAGTGGGAGAAGGTTTATTTCTCGCGCAACATTCCGGGATGTGCCTTCGCCCTTCTGTTGGGTAACCTCTACTACGCCTGGCAGTGTGGGCGCCTGGGCAACAAGGAAAACCGCGAGGACGTGACCGCCCAGCCGTACGGCATCAACACTACCGGCGTGTACATCACCCTCTACGCCATCAATCTCGAGGCTTTGATCTCTGCCGGCTTCATCTATCTGCCGGGTCCACTGGCTTCGGACGCTGACATTCGCCAGGCAGCGATCAATGCGGCAGACCACGCATGGAAAGTCTCCGTGGCCGCCAACTTTCTTCTTGGCATCTTCGAAATGCTTGGAGCCTTCGTGGGCGAGAGCATCCGCAAAGCTGCTCCCGTCGCCGCTTTCTACGCGCCCATGGTGGGCGTTGGCTTCGTGTACCTTGCCTTCGTTCCGATGCTGAACATCGCCATGGAGCCCATGGTCTGTCTGATTCCGCTCCTCATCGTCTTCAACGGCTTCTTTGGAGGTGTCCGGTACCACGTCTTCCGGAAGCTCACCATTCCCATTGGCATCTTGGCGCTTTTGGCCGCAGCCATTGCCGGATGGTCGGGAGGCTGCGCACGCGAGGCTGGAACGCTTGGGGCGACAAAGTACGGCTACACTCTGCAGTACTTCGATTCTACGAAGGTGACCTGCACCGGCACGTCCCAGGCAGAGGCCCAACGTGCCTGGGACACCTATGCCTTCCAGGACAACGTGCTCTCCGGCGCCGTCTTCGTCGGCTTGGGCGGCTTCTCTGAGATCGGCAGCTTCATCACCACGCTCTTCCTGGTGGGCGTGGTGGGCTTTGTGGGCACCATGAGCTGTGTTGAGAGTGCCTCCGCCGCCGGCGACGACTACCCCATGGCAGAGACAATGATCGTCGACGGCGCAGGCACCTGCATCGGTGCGCTCTTCGGGTCCTTCTATTCCACCACCGTGTACATCGGCCATCCGATCCACAAGAATCTGGGCGCCAAGCGCGGGTACAGCCTCATCAACGGCATCCTCTACTTCATCCTGCTGCTCAGTGGGGTGTTTGCAGCGCTCTACCAGTCGCTTCCAGAGTGTGCAAGTGGTTCCATCTTGGTCTTCGTCGGTTTGATCCTGGGTCGGCAGGCTTTTGAGGAGACGCCGGCACGGCACTACCCAGCGCTGCTGCTGAGCTTGTTCCCTTACCTCTGCAACTGGGCCAAGCTTGGCAATGCGAACGAGGGAATCCAGATGATGGGCCAAGCTGGCGGCCTGATGTTCAGTGTCGTGATCACCTGGCTCTTCTGCCTTTGCATCGACCGTGATTTCCTGAAGGCTACGATTCTTTCCTTTGCCGCCATTTGGCTATCTCTCTTCGGTTTCTTTGCGAGCCACAATGCGCCGAATGACAGCGTGCCCCCAACCGAGGGCGACGAGAAGATCGGGTTCTACGGAAAAGAGGACCACGAGTACAACAACGGCTGGCGCTGGGCAGTGTCCTGGTCGTTGGCAACCGTGTTCTTCGCGGCGCATGTCGGCTTGCAGCGGGCGGGGATCATCCAGGGCCCCTACGCCGAGAAGGGCAGCGAGGATGCGAACAAGATCGAGACGTAAACAGATTCAAAAAGAGCCTGGTGTGCCAAGGGACTGGTCACGACGGTGCTCGCAGTCTGTGGTGAGATTTACCTCTTGCAGTTTGGCGAGGGTGCCGCAGGCGGCTTTTTTCCCACGGAGGGTCAAAAGTGGAGCTTCAAGGCCCTCCTGTAATGTTTGCAAGAGCTGGCATCCCGCACGGTCCGCTATGCGGTGACTGTGCGAGGCTGTTCAGGGTTTGTTATCATTTATGCTTGTGGTCCTGCCAAGCAGACCGTTGCAGACCCAAGATCTACTGAAGCGACTGCGACGAAGAAAACAAGTCATCTTTGCATAAGTTGAGGACTTCGTGCAGCTGTACTCGCAGCGAGCATCTACTGGGAGCCCATAAATCGACTTACAGCTGCAGCCGTACAAATTCATGACGCTTTTGCTGCGGAGGCGGCGCTGGGCCGAATCAAATCTTCATTTGCAAGTGCCTTTGCCGCAGCATCTTGGCTGAGCGGGCCTGCGCGTGCGTGCGTGTGTGAACGTCGGATCCAGTCGGAGTTGCCATGGCGGAGGACTTGAAGCTGTCGCGAGGGGACAAGCCAGAGCGAAAGTGGTTCGAGAACCCGTTCACCTGGTGGCAGGGAACGAGCCTTGCCTGGAATACGAAGATCCCGATTTGGACGGGCTCTGGTGAGGCTGAGGGTCTGTCCGAGCTCTTCGTGGACAACTTGGGTTCATTATTGGGAACGACCGGCGCAGCAGTGGGCCACATCGGCTATGGCATCGTGGGCACGCTGGGTGCATTCGCCGCCGTAGGCATGTCGGACGGTTCGAGCTACGCCACTGCCATCGCCCAGGAGTGGGAGAAGGTTTATTTCTCGCGCAACATTCCGGGATGTGCCTTCGCCCTTCTGTTGGGTAACCTCTACTACGCCTGGCAGTGTGGGCGCCTGGGCAACAAGGAAAACCGCGAGGACGTGACCGCCCAGCCGTACGGCATCAACACTACCGGCGTGTACATCACCCTCTACGCCATCAATCTCGAGGCTTTGATCTCTGCCGGCTTCATCTATCTGCCGGGTCCACTGGCTTCGGACGCTGACATTCGCCAGGCAGCGATCAATGCGGCAGACCACGCATGGAAAGTCTCCGTGGCCGCCAACTTTCTTCTTGGCATCTTCGAAATGCTTGGAGCCTTCGTGGGCGAGAGCATCCGCAAAGCTGCTCCCGTCGCTGCTTTCTACGCGCCCATGGTGGGTGTTGGCTTCGTGTACCTTGCCTTCGTTCCGATGCTGAACATCGCCATGGAGCCCATGGTCTGTCTGATTCCGCTCCTCATCGTCTTCAACGGCTTCTTTGGAGGTGTCCGGTACCACGTCTTCCGGAAGCTCACCATTCCCATTGGCATCTTGGCGCTTTTGGCCGCAGCCATCGCCGGATGGTCGGGAGGCTGCGCACGCGAGGCTGGAACGCTTGGGGCGACAAAGTACGGCTACACTCTGCAGTACTTCGATTCTACCAAGGTGACCTGCACCGGCACGTCCCAGGCAGAGGCCCAACGTGCCTGGGACACCTATGCCTTCCAGGACAACGTGCTCTCCGGCGCCGTCTTCGTGGGCTTGGGCGGCTTCTCTGAGATCGGCAGCTTCATCACCACGCTCTTCCTTGTGGGCGTGGTGGGCTTTGTGGGCACCATGAGCTGTGTCGAGAGTGCGTCCGCTGCCGGCGACGACTACCCCATGGCAGAGACAATGATCGTCGACGGCGCAGGCACCTGCATCGGTGCGCTCTTCGGGTCCTTCTATTCCACCACCGTGTACATCGGCCATCCGATCCACAAGAATCTGGGCGCCAAGCGCGGGTACAGCCTCATCAACGGCATCCTCTACTTCATCCTGCTGCTCAGTGGGGTGTTTGCAGCGCTCTACCAGTCGCTTCCAGAGTGTGCAAGTGGTTCCATCTTGGTCTTCGTCGGTTTGATCCTGGGTCGGCAGGCTTTTGAGGAGACGCCGGCACGGCACTACCCAGCGCTGCTGCTGAGCTTGTTCCCTTACCTCTGCAACTGGGCCAAGCTTGGCAATGCGAACGAGGGAATCCAGATGATGGGCCAAGCTGGCGGCCTGATGTTCAGTGTCGTGATCACCTGGCTCTTCTGCCTCTGCATCGACCGTGATTTCCTGAAGGCTACGATTCTTTCCTTTGCCGCCATTTGGCTATCTCTCTTCGGTTTCTTTGCAAGCCACAACGCGCCGAATGACAGCGTGCCCCCAACCGAGGGCGACGAGAAGATCGGGTTCTACGGAAAGGAGGACCACGAGTACAACAACGGCTGGCGTTGGGCCGTGTCCTGGACATTGGCGACCGTGTTCTTTGCGGCGCATGTCGGCTTGCAGCGGGCGGGGATCATCCAGGGCCCGTATGGCGAGAAGGACAGCGAGGTGCAGAAGATAGAGGCGTAAACGATGTGAAACAGCCTGGAGTTTCACGTGACCAGTCACACGCTGCTCGCAGTCTGCAGTCTGTGGTGAGATTTCCCTCTTGCAGTTTGGCGAGGGCGCCGCAGGCGGCTCTTTTTCCCACGGAGGGTCAAAGGTGGAGCTTCAAGGCCCTCTTGTAATGTTTCGAAGAGCTTGCATCCCGCACGGTCCGCATGCGGAAGCCGTGCGAGGCTGTTCAGAGCTCAATGTAACTACGGATTTAGGTCCTGCCAAGCAGACCGCTGTACCATCTTATCAACACTTCCAGAACTGCTATGCAACCTGGAGAATGCCCACATGCTCGGAGTTTATCCGGATATCCGCAGACCTCTGCAGACCGACTGAATCGACTGCCATGAAGAAAGCAAGTCTCATTGTTGAGTAGATTGTGGACGCGAGATTCTTGTTTTTCTAGTGGTTTTGGGCAGTGCTGCAGAGTTGCCTCAATGACAGGGCTCTGTGGATGTATGCTCCTGGCTGCATTGGCTTCCTTCGCAACTCAAGACTTGTACCGGAAACCTTCAACCCAAACCGAATTTTTGCAGCACCAATAGATCCAAAACCTCAACTCCCTAAACCCCTAGTACCCTAAACGGGACCCTAATTGGGGTTATGGTACTTATAAGCCCCTTAGAAGCGCTGCTCAGATGTGGCAAAAACACGGCACCGCGCAGAGCGCATCGGCTTGGAGTGGCGCGGAGGCCTCAGTCTGCCAACACTAGTACCTTAACCTACCAAAACCTACTTTTTTGGAGGGTCCCTATAAATTCCATATTGGGGGTTATAATAAGAACCTACAAAAAAGTAGGGTTTGGTAGTTTAAGGTAGGGTGTTTTCTCTTATTGGGCTTCAACGGATCTTACCTACTAATATTTTTCTAAGGTTTCAAAACCACCTCCTAGACTATCACGACTACTTAGTGATTTAGTAGAAGGCTTTTCCCTTTTCCCACTCACCAACAACAACCACACTCCACCACTCCGGTTTTTTCCTTTGGATGTAATATGCTAAGACACTGTATAGACGTTTATGGTCAGGCGGCTGGCGTGTGCGGACAGGATCGGCGCTGTTGCCGCTAGATGGTGGGGTTGGTGCTGGGGCGGCCAGGGGTCACACGCAAGCTACGCAAGCCATGAATCCCATAAGATAGCGCATGCTCCTGTTTTTACTAACCTCAACCTGTACTTGAAACCCTACACCCACCCCTAAACCCCGCCTAAAAGCAAGCTCTAAGCTTAAATCAGAGCATGAACCGTCAACCCTAGCGAACCTAGCCCTTGTCGATGGAAGCCTGATACCTTTCAACAGCAAACCCGAAACCCAAAAGCATAAGCCAAACCCCACAAACACCCCACCAGGGAAGAGAGACCCCACACCCCACACCACAGGAAAGGGGGGCCCCACCTATATCCAGACCATTGACCTTCGGGGGGGGAAGGGGGAGGGGCCGCGGAGCGCGTGACCATTCATAGCTGTTGTATGTTTTTTTCCGTCAGAGAAAAGGACAGAAATCCAACTAAAACAGATCACGCAGTTATCCACTCAACATCGGATTCCTCCAAAGTGGCTCTTGCGGAGTTTTGGGGTGAAGATTCCGCAGTTCCCGGTGTGTCCCTACCCATCTGGAGTTTCCGAAAATAGGGGACCCCCATATAATCCCTAATATTAATACTGATACTATTGTTCATATGGGAGTTTCCGAAAATAGGGGACCCTAATATAGTATCCTAAATAGTAGGATCCCTATGATAAGGACCCCGCATTTTCGCAAACTCCCACCTCCCTTTGAACCGCACTCCTCTGGCCCTCACCGGATTAAAGAAGGCTTTGTCAAGGTATCGCTTTTTCTCTCAGGGCTCGCATAATTTACAGAGGGTCTGTATTTCAGTGAGTCAGCGCTACCGACGAATCTGGTGACTTTGGAGCCCGTGTTCTTCATGCACAGGCGTGGGCAAGATGAGGATCAGCCCTTGTCGGTGCCGTGTGCAGAACGTGCGCAGTGGAAAACATGAGCTTGAGCAGGCGAGTTTCAGTAAGCTGGGCCCGTCAACTTGCAAAGCCATTGTGCATCCAGTGTCGAAGTCATTTTGTTGCTCGATGTCCACGCTTCGTTCATGAATTCCAACATGCAGTGTGCAATCTAGCACCCAGCATTCGGTTGACTGTGTGTTCTACGCGCAACTCAACTTGTTTTGGATCAAGGCGACTCAGGCACGGTAAGTTTGCGTTATGGAGCAGCTGGTGGCTACCCGAGTCCGTGAGGTACTGGGCATCTTTCGGGAAGGCCTGTATGAGAGTCAGCTGAAGAGGCTTTATTGCATCAGCTATGGCGAAGCTCTCGACGTCAGGTCGCTGGGCTACAGCTCTCTCACAGATTGGATCTTCAAGAAGAGCTCTTGGCTTAAACGGAGCGAAGGCATTCTCTGCCTGCTGAAGCTTCCTGATCTGGTGTGCTCCAAGCAGGAGCTTCTGCGGAAACATAGAGGCACCTTCCGTTTCTGTTGTGGCAAGTGCAGCAAGTGCTATGGCGTTGGGCGAGCCGGACCTGGCTGTGTGTGTCGCCACGGAGCATCCGGAGCATGGCTGCTGGTGTACGAGCCGCCTGCCGAGGAAAGTGCCGAAGTTACCGTAATCCGAAAGCCTGGAGAAAAGGTCAGCGGTTGTGTCCACTTCTTCTCGGGGAACAGCTGCAGGCAGCAGTGCCCATACGCTCACAGCGAGATAGAGCTGGATGTGTGGAACGTGCTTCGAAGCGGAACTGCCAGTGAAGAGTTGGTGTTGGAGCCACAGTTCCTCTTCGCAGACCAACCCGCTTTCCGATGCCTCTCTTGTGCAGATTCCTTTGCGACAGAGCAAGAGTTTCGTCAGCATTTGCAGTCGCAGCAGCATGTCGATTGCTTGGACATGGAGCTTCAGCACATGTACGACTGGAAGAAGCGTCCACCACCTCGAAGGCACTTTTTGGGGCTGTGCATTCGATTTCAGTCTTATCATCGCTGTCAAGCTGGGTCCGCATGCAGCCAACCGCATTCAGAATCCGAGCTTTCCGAGTGGAGACAGCGTCATGAGCTTCTGGAGCGTCGATGCCTTATGTGCTCGCAGTAGGATGGCACATGTGATTTACTTGTGCGGAACCCGTGCACCGCTCTCCACAAGACCCCTCGTCTCCAAACTTCAGCTTGGCTTCTCCCAGACTGAGGTCGAAAGAAGCTGAGCTCCGACAACGGACTGCAACCATGGCGACGAGATCTTGCTTTCAAGTGGCTCTCGGCTTCTTGGCGGAACGGCCCACCAAGGGAACCCACCCCGTTGCGGCGGTTTTAGGAGTGTGCTTCTGGGCAAAGCGAGCCACGTGACCTGAAAGCATTGCGATTGAGGCAACGGGAACGGGGCATCTTGCGAGCTTCGGGCCGCAGTCTTCTCGACAAGCGCTATCCGCCCTGGATGCCTCCAGGACGTGTTTGGCGGAGTTTTGTGTTGGCGGTTGAGGTAGGCTGATGCGTTTCTCCTTTTCTGCGAAAGCTCTCGCTTTCACCTGCTCTTCGTGTTTCGCTTCAGCAATCTCAGGCGCTGCGAGGGCTTCTTCTGGAAGACAACCCTGCAAGCGACGGCTTACTACTCTGCGCAGCGCCATGCTCTGTGAGCCTTCCGGAAAGCCCGGCGAAGCACGTATGGCATTGCAAGGTGGTGGCAGGGAGACACTTGCTCAGAGCTTGTTTGCTTGACCCAGCGAAGTCATCTTGCTTTTGGCTTCAGCTGGAGAAGGACCCGGTCAAGTACCAAGAGCTGCAGATAGCTCATCAGCAGGTGAGTGAGCTTTCCTTGAACTTCGCTGTGGGGAGGTTTGGTCGCTTCGAGCAGTGGTTGATCCTTGATTTTGGAGGCCCGCCCTTCGTCATGAAGCGCTTCTCCGTGACGGTGGAGAACTACTGCCACGGCTCGCTTCTTAGCGAGGCCACGCTGACGGAGTCGCTGAGCCAGGAGCCCAAACGCTGGACATGGTGGACAAGTGTGCAAGGTCGTGAGGAGCCGTCGAGACTGATGCTGAAGCACAAACCCCCTGAGGCTTCTCTCGATTCCATCTACTGCCAAGATAACGGCAGACTCGACTGGAACGATTTGAAAGAATATCGAATGAACCTTCATTGCTTTCTGAAGAAAGAAGAGGAGGCAGACACTGCAAGGCTTCACACGCTCTCTGGCGATTATGACCTGGAAGTGTTGCCCGAGGCGGGCCGCTTGCGGCTGCTGTGCTTCTTCTTTTTGCAGCTTACAAGTCCTTAGAGCCTTCGGTCCTTTGCTCAACTGCCCTGTAACCTGCAGGATGCAACGGGTGCCACGGCTGTAATCGATCTCGGTCAGAGCGGAAAGCTTCGTGAAGGCCTGGTGGGACGAGAAGGGCTCGGACGAGGAAAAGATGAGAATATATATATATATATTATATATATATATATATCTTCAGTTACTTGAATGCGAAAGAAAGCATGTCATTGGCTGACGGTAGCTGAGACCAAGTTTCTGTTCCTCAAGAAGTACCCAAGAAACACGACGCCTTGTCTCCACAGGAGGCCAACTACTCCTGGACGGCCGCTGCAACAAAGCTTGGTTGGCTTCCAGTGCTTCAAGCAGCGCTGTCTTCGAGGCGCCAGCTGAAGTCTATGTCTAGGGATGCTTGGATTTACGGTGCGTGTAAAGTGCGCAGGTGCGGCTGAAGGTCCAAGAAGAGGAGACTCTGGCAGTGAAGTTGTGGCTGCAGCCGCACGTTTTGCGGTGCCTCTGCAGACACCCGAGTGCACGTGTTCATGTGCAGTTCCAGTTTGATCGCCGGGAGATCAGTTCCCAGCATGAAGTGGTGGATGTCATCTCTCAGCGCGAGATCGTGCACCGACTGGTGTTGCCGAACTTGGAGCGCTACCCGTCTCCCACCCAGTCGGAGCTGGATGCGACCCAGGAGTCCGTCGCGCGTGAGCTCACCGATTCGCGCCTTCCACCTCCGAATCCTGCACAGCTTCGGGTGATGAGCTTTGCACTTTGCGGTCTTCAACGCAGCTTGCCGCCTTTGCTGGTTTACGGGCCATGGGGAACGGGCAAGACCTTGACGCTTGCGCATGCTGCCATCTGCGTTACAAGGCGCTCGCAGCGCGCCCGGATCCTCATATGCACACACACCAACTCCGCAGCAGATCTGTTTGTGGAGCGCTATCTAGGCAACGCTGACTCTGACTTGGGTACAACGGTGCTTCGCCTATGCGCAAGGTCTCGAAGTGGGCGCATCTCTGACGCAGTGATGCAGTGCTCTGCAAGCCTGGACGACCTTTCCATTCAGCAGCTTCTTGATGCACAGATTGTTATCTGTACGTTGAGCTTGGCGAATGCCATCGCGAAAAGGATCACGGGTTTGCTTGAGGAGCACTTCACTCACATCTTTGTGGACGAGGGTGGGCAGGCCAAGGAGCCCGAGACTTTGCAAGCAGTTGCCTGCGCCGGGCCGAGGACGTGTCTCATTATTGCAGGGGACCATAAGCAGATGCGCTGCCAGTCGTCATCCAACTTTGCACAAGAAGCGGGTCCTGACCTGCAATCGTTGCTTCAACGCATGTTCCTTCTCTACGGAAGAAAAGAAGCGAAGACGTTGCGGGTCCTGCTCAACGTAACCGCTCACACCCTGTCATCGTCACCTTCGTCGGAAGGAACTTCTACAGTCAGGAACGGCCAACGCTCCACGTTGGGTCATGAACACCGATGTCCCGGCCTTGCAGTTCACGTAGAGGCGAAGGCAGAGCTGACATACGAGCCTCACGGCTGCGGCAACATAGCAGAGGTCAGGAAGGTTTTGGAAGTGGCACAGGAAGTTTCTGAGAGCCTCCGTACTGCTGACGTGGGCGTTATCTCCACAGAGCTACTGCAAGTTTGGAGACTTCGCGAGCTCCGCGGTCGGACAAGAGTGGATGTTCAGCGAATCTCGAATGTGCAGGGTCAGGAGTTCGATGTTGTCATCGTCTGCACGGTGGCATCGCACCGCATGGACGCATCCCTACAAAGCAGTTTCGGATTCCTCAGCGACGAGGCCATGCTGAATGTTGCTCTGACACGAGCACGACGCTGTGTTATTGTCGCCCGGCAGGTTCTGAGAACTTGGACATGCCTTGCTTTATGATAGGCACCCTAAACGCCTAAACCGTCCTCAGCGGCCCTGCAACCAACAGAGTTTCAGGTCGTGGGAGATGCGAAGGCACTGTGCTCTGCGGGATGCTGTGCCTCCTTGTGGAGGCGATTCATCGAAGCGGCTCAGAATGAGGCTCAGAAGCTCGGGGGCTCCAGCTTTGATGTGGCGAGCATTGAAAGTCAGGCTCGGGAATTTGAGGAGGACATCTTCGAGGACGAGGACGAGAACCTCCCAGATGACGAGATCTTGCTTCTGACCATGAGACAAGGTGTCGAAAGGAACATGGGAAACCTGGTTCGTCCAGAAGAGCGGCGTAGGCAAATCGATCTCCAGATGGAAGCTTTGCGTGGGGCCGATGCAGCGGCCGCCCCTCGTGCGCCGTGGCACCCGTGGCGGGCAAGGCCAGGTGCCACGGGGGCAGCCAATAGCGGCCGGGCCAACGTAACCATCACACCTTCGATCCAAGGCTTTGCCCGCTCTTCGCATTCTCGCACAGAGTGCCCCCCGGCCATTTGGGACATGTGGCCCTCAGAGGATCACATGCTTCGGATCGTGCTGATTGCTGAGAAGCCGGCGATGGCCAGAGCGTGGGCAGCCGCCTGAGCACAGTCTCCAGTTTTGATGAGAAGTCGTCATGCCAGGCCCATCAATGGAGCTAATGCATGCCAAGAACCAGTGCAAGAAGCAAAGTTGTTGACTAAGGCGAGGGCATTGCACGACGAGCCGGAGTTTGTGAAGCCCCATGGTTTCGTGACGGGCGTGTATCACTTTGAGCGCGACTACAACGGCTCGCTTGCAAGATGGTTCTTGGCTCAGCTATGGGACACCGTAGGTCCACTGCTGACTTTGATGTATGCCGTTTTGCCGCGACAGCTAGGATCACTGGTGTTGCGAGGCTCTCTTTGCTTGGCTGAGGTGCGTGTCTTCGACGATCGGACACTTCACCGAAACGCGAATGAACGGTGGATTGGCAAGGATGAGCAACGGAGCAGCCTCACCCGAGATGTTCACGCGGGAGCTGGTAGACGATTGTTTCAGGCAATGGGCAGCAACTCCTACCCCCCAACATTCATATTACAGGGCGTTCTTTGATGCAGGCCAGTCCAGAAGAAGATGAGGGAGCAGCTACGACAATTGTCGCTGCTCGGCCGATGGTTTCATATGATGGCCCAGTCCGAACTGGCAAAATACGCGCACGGCCTAGGCGCAACAGCGACATGCTTGTCCTCGCCCTCGATGCGGATATGGAGGGCGAGTTCATTGCTCGTCAGGTCGCTCGTGTGTTTCAGCCTCTCATGAGGTCTTCGGCCGTGTGGAGGTTCCGTGGCGGATGAAGTGCAGCACTGCAGAGCATTTCCACTGCGAGGTTTTATCCTTTCCACATTCCGCGTGCAAGGTGTTGGTTCACTGCCCTTGGAAAGCGGCATCTCTTGCTCCTTGGACTTGCTTCAGACACGATTTGCTTAGGCACAACGGCCGCAAGACAGCTTCGATCTTCCTGCAACAAAGGAAGGCGCTCAGCAAGCTGACTCCGCTCGATGAGGCTGTGGCGGATGCTTGTGAAGTTCGTCGACAAGTGGACTACAGGGGTGGGCAGGCCCGATCAATGAAAAGTCGCTATAAAATGCAGTGGGGGTGTCAGAGGCTTTGTGTAACCTAGCCCCAACTTAGTCAAGAGCTCTTGTTTTAATGCAGGCTTGCACGCTGACCCTTTCGGCCTTCGCGGACAGACACCAGGAGCACCTGGCAGGAGCTTTGCCAAAGTTCAGTGCCTTGCGTCAAGAGCGTCGAGCTTCGAAACAGGGCGAAGAGGATTTCGAGCCATCGCTCAGCTATGGCCCTGTGCAAACCCCGACCATCTTCCTTGCTCTTTACCACTTCGTGGTCGAGTCCTCGAAGCAGACGTCTCAGGGGACCTGGCGCGTGAAGGTCTCTCTGTACTCTGAGTCGACCGGGGAGTTCGACTGCTACTCAGAGCCGCTGAGAAGCGAGGAGGATGCGAGGAAACAAAAGGAAGCGATCGAGATGGCCATGGCCTTCCAGCAGAGGCCGGGTTCGGATCAGTTTTTGCATAAGGAAACTTGAGCATGTCTGAGCCCCGAGGCCCCCGGAGCAGCCGCAGCCGCCTGGAGGGGGACTCGAGGATCCTGAGGCGTCAGAGTCAGAGAGCGGAGGCAGCTTAGCCCCCCCGGCTCGCAGCGGGAGCCCAAGCCCAAGCGCCGCAGAGAAGGGCAAGGCGCCCGTGGCTCCGAAGAGTGCAAAGCAAGAAGAGGCTGCCGTGGCGAAGGCCAGGGAGGAGAAGAAGAGTCGGGCTGTGACAGTGAGGCAGATCACGGAAGAGTTGGTGCCGGGCTTTGAAAGGCCGAAGCCCTTGAACTTTGTGGGCCTCATGAAGCTTGCGGCAGCCTATGGCTATGATCCACCCTACACGGAGCGCCTAGCGCAGAATCTCTACGAAATGGGCTTCATCAGCTATCCAAGAACAGAGTCGAGCCAGTACTCTGAGGACGAAGAGGCCCAGCTGGAGGACACCGTCAGGGACCTTGCACGAGCACCTTTGCCGATGCTTCGAGGGGACGGCCTGAACGTGGATGGAGAGATTCAGGAGTATGCGAAGCGCTTGCTCAATGATGATAAGCTGCAGAGGCCTCGCAAGGGCGTGGCGACCGGGGATCACGAACCTATCACTCCCAGCCTGCAATCAGATCATCTACTCACACGCTTTTCTTCGACATGGCAAAGGCTGCAACATCGAGATAATGCAGAGGAGAGGAAGGACACCATGACGCTGTACGACCTCATCTTGCGCTACTTCCTGGCATCGTTGTCTCCAGATTGTGTCATGCAGGCAAGAACCGTCACCTTGGCTTTCGTTGATGTCGAGATTCCCTTCGGCGGCCAGTTCCGAGTGCAGCACCGGACTCAGCTGGAGCAAGGATGGTTGGAGATTCTTCCCGTAGACACCGCCCCCTTGCTGCTGGATGGTGATGTGCCTTATCTCTCGAAAGAAGCCCTTCTTACTGCTACTTCGGTGCAGCTGAAGCATGAGCCTCCGGAACCTTCTCGACCTCTCACCGTTGCACGTTTACTCCACATGATGGAAGTGCATGGCATCGGTACTGACACTTGCCCTGAGCTTCAAGGCTGCTTCCGTGTTTTTGTACGGCTGAGGCTACTTTGAGAGTCTCCTTTCCTGTTGTCTGATCTCAGGATGCGTCGATTCCCAAGCATTTCGATGCTTGCTTGCACGCCTTGCTCATATCTTTCATTTCTCTCGGAGTTTGGTGCACGCGTGTCCAGATGCTTTAGCCTGATTCACGTGCTGCGGACATGTTCTAAGGAGAAGCTGGTTCAGCGGGGATACTTCCAGGTTTACAAAAAGAAGGTCGACCGCGTGTGCATGAGCGAGGCCACCTGGGCATGGCATGTTCTGCAAGACGACGAGTTTCACGCAGAGATGTTTGGGAATCCGGAATCTGCGGATCGTCGGCTTCTTACCATTTCGGTGATGAACGTCGGGAAGGCACTGGTGGCTTGGCTGTGGCACCATGAGCCCCATCTCGTGCAACCCACGGTCCGCGCCGAGATCGAAGAGGAGACCCGGGCCGTGGCCTTCAGCGGCCGGTCCGCCTCTGATGTAAACAGGAAGCTCACAAGCCAATTTCGGGATTGGTCTGCCTCGCTTTCTTCCAAGCTCGAGGAGAGGCATGCGGACTTCACAGGCCATGAGCTGCTCCGACTCCTCCAGCCGCGCCGGAACGATGGGAAGACCGCAATGCTGAACGCCGCCTTTGCAGAGATCGCCGCGGTCGATCTCCGGGCCATGGAAGTGAAGCGCGCAGCCGCACTGCATCAACACTCTCCAACCTCACAGCCCGTTGACGAAGCGCGCACAGCATACACGGCACCAGCAGCCATGGACTTGCAACATTGCCTGCTGCCAGACACGATGGTGCTTGTCAGAAACAACGAGCCGGTGCCGGCGAGCTCCATTCAGGCCGGCGCTGTGCTGCTGACCATGCAGCATGCCGACGTCTCCCGGTGCAGAACCATGCAGTTGCGCGAGCGCGACCTCGTCACGCTGACATATATGGTGGAAGGCAGCACGGCCGTGAAGTCCGTGATCATGACAACAGACCACTTCATCCCGGTTTTGAGGTCCCCTCACATCTTGCATTCTGCAAAGCTTTTGCTTGTGCCCGAAGTTCTTTCTGCAGGAGCGGTGCGCGAGCCGGACGTCCACTGCCCGCGCGCGACGTGAGGGTCGGTGACAGGCAGGTAATCGCTACTCATTCCAAGGGCAGACTGCTACCGAAGCGCAACATGAGGTTATTCACCCGGACGGCTCGGTTTGCCATAGTGCAGGAGAGGAAGGAGGCAACATCGTCTTAGCTTTTGCTTCTGATGCTTCTAGTGCCTAAGAGTTTCTGCCTCGTGCATCAGCCGCGCGGCACATGAAAGGAGGTGAGGCCCACCCAAGTGGTGCAGATCGAGTTCGAGGCCCCAGCGACGATGCTGGTTGCGGGTCCTGAAGAGGCGAGGGCCCCATGAACTAGGCTGATCTTAAGGAACGCTTCACCGAAGTTACCACGCATAATCAAGAGCCGCTTGTTTACTGTAACCATGCGGCTTCATGGTAGCTTAGTTCATGTTCCTTCGCACGCGCCCAGTTCTAAGCGGGTGGCATGGCTGACAGAGATGTACTCCAAGGACTTGCAACCCAACGATTTCGTGGAGGTCCATGGCTGCGGGGAGGGCGTTCCGAGTTTGGACACCTCGGCTCCTTGTCACGAACTGCTTTGTCCCAGACCTCCCGCCAAACAAAGACTAGTAAACTCCATCACTGTTCTTGGGAAGCGGTGATTTAGACTAGCGGAATTTACGGGTCGGAATAGTCCTGATTTGGGGCTCCGGGTCCTCAGGAGCACTGTACATACATACCGTATGTGTTACATACCCCAACACCCTACTTTATGCTCAGTGCTCAGCCGTCGCAGCTTCTGTCCTAATTAAACCCAACACTTTCAAGCGTAGTAAGGATCGTAATAATATCAAATAAAGTCAAGAGTGCCATAGGGGCCTAAATAATTGCCAATACTATTTTGGGGTCATCTCTCCTCGGTTTCATTGTCAGGTAAAAATCCTACACTTCAATCGCTTCGACAACTTCGCAGATGCCCAGAGCTGAGTTTGAGGGTTCAGCGGTTCTAGGGTTTTTTGTAGATGGTGTTGGGGGGATTTAGGGTTCAGGGGTTTTTTGGGTGTGTCAGGGTTCAGGGGTTTTCGGGCTGAGGGGTTTTGGGGGTCAGGGTTCAGGGTACAGGGGTTTAGGGGCTACTTCATGGGATGTACCGGCGAGTAGTTTCACTCAGCTTGCTGGCTTCTGAGGAGACCTCGCAAGACTTGTCCGAGTTGTTGGGGGTCTTAGCAGAGGGTTGCTTTTCAAGAGCAGGGGAGAACTGGGCTTACAGCCATTCGAAGTAAGCATCCACACTATGAGACGATGAACCCTTGAAGTCAGCATGCTGCCCCTGACAGCGCACTGTCAAAAAAGGAGTACTACCTGGCACCGAGATACCGATGACTATATGATGTTATTGTCACCGGTCTGGCTCCTGGTTCAATCATGGCAAAGCACCGTCCTATGATCTTTAGGGTGGTCCTCTGAGTTTTCTACTCATTGGATTTTGTATATATATATATACATATATATATATATATACATATATATATATATATATGTATATATATATATATATATATATATAGGCGATTTCTACTAAGTAGAATGCCGGAGCCGTGATACCGCTGGGGCACTGCATCCCGAGTGCCTTGATGGTCAACGGCAGCCTGAGCATGAGTCGGACAGCTACGAAATTGGCTGATGCCCGGGTCCTGCCATTACAATATGCAGAATGAGATACGAGTGGTGCAAGCAAAGTACCACAGCATTGGTAAGATCCGGTCGGTGCCCGCAATATCATCCCCACGAACAGCCCTCATCGTGTGAATCACCACCTTGAATTTACATGCCGAGAGAAGGGTAAACCATGAAGAACATCCGCAAACTCTAAGCGTAGAAACCCTAGTCCCGACCTAGGGCAACAGAAGCGTTTAGGCTTTCGACAGGCAAGCTCAGCTCAGGCTTTGCTGGAGTCCGAGGAGCTGCAGCTTTGTGTGGATGACCTCAGGCGGCCATATGATACTGTCCATTGTCATACTTTGTCGTATACATATTCTAGTTTATTCTTTCTACATTGATTTTGCAATGCTGTGGAATATTCTGTCGTATTATTGTACGGATGTGCTGTTTCTGGCAAAGCGTTTGCCGGTTATATATATATATAAGTTTGGATACTTGGCTTGATGGATGAGGCAAAATGGCTTCTCTGCCGAAATCCGGCTCGACGATGACCCTCCTCGTGGGTTGATGTTTGTCAGCAGCAATCTTAGCGCCGTCACTGCGCTACATCCTCCACGCTGATATGCTGAATCCCAAACCCCAACATGCGCTGAGGCTCGAACCTGGCACCCGGAGTCATGTGGGCACTGCGGCAGCGGAAGCAAGAAGCCCGCCCACTCTGGGTCAGCTCCGTTGTGGTTTGCCGCCGCTACGAACTCATTGTCAGGGACTGTGCGCGACATTTCCGGGCTCCAGGTCGCAGGACAATCTTCGTCAAACAGGAGGAGTCTTTGGACGAATGGATGAATGAATGGCAAAGAAGTCAGCTGGAAGTGTCCCAGCGTTCGACGTTCATTCATGCTGCGGTGCCGGCAGATTCGCAAAGCGTCGCGGACTCGGAGTGATGTCCAGGCCCCGGCATGCATAAAGATGCTATGTTTAAGCCGAAATGAGGTCACCGCACAGTCCGACTATGTCACCGACGGCGCTTGGCAACGGCCTTCCGCCTGGAGGAATCGGTTTAGGTAGATCCGATGCCGAGCAGGCAAACCAATTAGCTGGCTTCTCTTTTTATGAAGTCTGTGTACAGCAAACATCCGCGGCCAACTCAGCACTCTCTGGCTGTATCCATGCGCCGAGAGGTTGAGAGACACGTGCTTTTGTCTCAAGAGAACGCTGTTGATTCGGCATGCAACCTGTTCCTTTGGGATAGTCGCACGGATGTACAGGATCCATCTTTCGTTATGTTCTGCAGGTAGTATCCATGCACCTGCACTGCACAATGAAGTTGGATTGGATTTTGTGTCACGGCTTGTATCGGATGGTTGAAAATTGCCTACTGCTCGGGCCTGAGCTGTTCACGGTCACGAGCACTTTCGAACTCTCTCTCACTCTTCTCTCCCTCTTTTTCTCCCTGCCTTGTAATTTGGGCTAATTTGGGCTCTTGGGGTTGAACTGTCTTTGTCGTTTGTGGCAGATCTCTGTTTCTTGTGGTTCTTGGTAGGATTTCGGGGAGAGCAAGGACTTCCGGAAGTGCAGAAGAGCCCAGCCTCCCCAAAGAGGTCCAAAGCCGCATACAAATCCTTACATGCTTGTCCACAAGGTTAGCTTGTGTGTCCCATCTCATGTTGCCCCGTTTTCGTAGCTTCAGACCCCAGCATCTGGTGCTTCCAACCCAAAGCCACAAGTGCTAACAGCTGACGGAAGATGCCGTGCATGGTTTTCGGTTGAAAACCCCTTCCGACTAGTTTTGCCTTGTCCGTTCTTGGACTCTTGGTGGCCTCGGCCTCGTGCTTGCAATGTCGGAGTGCGCTCTCTTCGCGGATCAGTACTCCGAGCTGAAACGTTTTGCCAGGAGCTTCCAGCATCTGAGCAGCGTGGTGCCTGCGAGGCAGCATCGCGTCGCACTGCAAATGGGCAGCGGACAGCCGCTGCTACACTTGCAGAGGTGCCGACCAGTTGGACTGCTGCTCATGCTCATGCAAATTCATTTTCGAGTACATCGTGTTGCCGACTCCGTTGTCGAGGAGCAGCTGGAGCAGTGGAAGTGGTGTCGGCAGGGTTGGGAGGAGTGGTGCCACGTGCTCTGCGAGGGGCCGGAGAGCAGACCGCCGCCCCCCCAGCCGCCCCAAAACGGCGCAGACCGCGGCAACGTGTCCTGGAACCCTCTTGGGCCTCTCCCCTGGGATCCGCCCTTCTGGAATCGTCGGGAGTTCCTGGCTCTGGAGAAGGAGCTCCTGGGAGCCATCCACAGCCACCTCCGGGTCTCCAGCGCTGACAGCGCTCGGAAGCGCGGGCTGCTGCCGAAGGCCACAACAGAGGTGAGCTCCTCCTGGAGCTGCGGGGAGCCTTGCAGTCTCTTCAAGAAGGAGCGGAAGGTCTACTCTCAGTATGGCCTGGATGGAATCTTGGAGCAGATCTTTAGATGCATTGGTGTCACAACAAAGGTTTTTGTGGAGATTGGCACCCAGTACGGCGTGCAATGCAGCACTCGCTTTCTTCGTGTTGCCCATGGGTTCAACGGTTACATGTTTGACGACAGCAACTCCGATGAGAGAATCGGCTTGCAGAAGGTCTTCATGAAGCCCACGTTCGCAGCCTCGCTGGTGAACTCGACGGTGCGAGCCGGTTCCGCTCGCCGATGCGTTCCTGGGATAGAGCCGTCGCAGTTGGATCTTCTGAGCATGGATACCGATGGCATGGACTTCGTACTGTGGCGGTCCATGTGCCCCAGCATTCGGCCTCGTGTTCTGACGCTGGAAGCCGAGTGGGCGGGCAAAGCGCATTGGCACGACAAGGCCGCCATTACCAGGAAGATTTACAGCTTGGGGCGTTCCTGTGGCTACGTGCTGGTCTACGTCGTTCTGCATGACCTGGTTTTCGTGAGGAAGGACGTGTTCCAGCAAAGCCACTCCTGTCGGCCCTGGGACAAAAGCGCCGGAGATCTCAACTTCTTCTTGGCCCGCGAAGAGCGCCGCGGGCAGCTCGCCCGCGAACGAGAACTTGCTGGAGTGCGGGAGCTCAACGTCTGGCGCTACGACGGTTGCATCATGTAGCTCTGCATTTTAGCGGCGCCAAGAACCTACACCGTTTCAGCCCGCAGTGCCTAAGCTGCAGGGCAAGCACGCCGCTGGTCTGCGCACGCTGGACACTGCGCGCGCGGAGATGTCAAGCAACGGAAGCTGGCCTCCCTCTGATGAAAATGGAGAGCATCAGACTCGGCTCCGCCGGAGGGCTGCGCCGCTGGGACGGCTGGCCCCATCTGGCGAGGTCGCTTGAAACACCTCATGCGTCGGCCTCCACACACGACTCGGGCTTAAGACAGCAGCTGCAGCAGGAAGGGGAAGTTTTGCCGAAACGCTTGTAGCCCAGGACAGGCACAGTAGAGCAGATGTCATGCGGTAACCTTGTGACTGTGCTACATGGGCTTGGACGCCATACGACAGATCCCATCGCTATCCATGGTATTGCTCTGCGCCCTGCTACAGGAACTTCGAAAATCCTCATCATCCTCATCATCAGCTTGATTCATGATCATTATCAGTCTCATCTTCATGTTGGCCACCACACACACAACATCATCATCATCATCACCATCACCACGACCATGATGCTTGTTCTTGGTAGGCCCGAAACCACAAACCTCGCAGGCAACGACCACCCTTGGGATGGCACCCGACACCACAAACCCCAAAACTCCTAACCTAAATCCTAAGCTCCTAAACTCCAACTTCGAGTTTGAAAACAAGCTTCAGCCAGCTCTGAAATTTAAATCCTAAGCAAACTAAAACACAAGAGCCTTAAGCCAACTTTACAATACAACAATCCAAAGCTAAGTATCCTCCAGCCCTCCGACTCCTGCAGCCACCGACTCGAAGATGGAACTCCGAAACCAACCCGGGGTGCATCCTCTGGCTTTTAGCTCCCCTTAACCCCCAAACCCCCTAAAACCCAGGGTTTGGGGTTTAGGGTTTCGAGGCTCTAAACTCCAAAATGCCGTTGTTTTTGGCTCCTCCCTAAAGAGCCGGGGGAATCCGTGCCCCGGCGAACCCCCAACGAAGAGTTCCGGGCCGAAGGCGCAGCGGAAAGCCAGGGTTTCGGCTTGAGGGACGGTGCATTAGATGTTTCATCTTGGATGTGATGAGAAATTACATGATGCTACGTACATACATGCATACATACATATACATATGTATACATATGTCTATATATATATATATATATATAGAAAGAATAGGCGACTCTAGCAAAGATTGGTGGAGGGTCTTCGTGTGGCTTCAGGGTTTCAGAATTCATACGGCTTTGACGAAAGTTTGGGCTTCTGCTGAAGGTATTGTGGGGTTTTCAAAGCGGGTTTGGGGTCTGGGGTTTAGGGTTTAGGGTTGTTTGTAGGTTTCAAGCAGGGCTGCGTTCGGACACGAAGCCAAGCATAATCGACTTTCTAGCCCGTACCTTAGGATTTGGGGAAACCCTAAACCCTAAACCTTAAACCATGGGTTCAGGTACTTCTCGATTTTCAGGTAAGCCCAGACTCTGAACCCTGGGTTCGGGTGCTTTTTTGGGTCCTTTAGGGTCATCGGAGGAGAGTCGATCCTGCTTGGAGGATCATGGGACTTAGTAAGCAAGGTTATAAGTACCTTAATCGGAGTTATAAGTAGTTATAAGTGTGAAAAGCGGAGGATTCCACTCAATTCTCGGTCACAAAGCCCAAGGCAGCCGATCGCAGATCAAAGCAAAGCAAGCGGTGCAAAGCAGGACAATCAGAGATTAAAACCGTAAGATTGACGCTCAGCGGAAAGACAACACCAGAACCCCCAGGCTCTAGCGGATCTTTTGCTGGGACTCGCGCATGCGGTCCTTGAGCAGTCAAGCTGCGTAGTGAGACAAAGTTGGTCTGATTCCTAACCAGAAGGCAGAAGCACATATACGCATGTCAGTGACAAATCACACCCCCCTCGACGCGAGCTCACGCGTGAGAAGAGCGGAGTTTAGGAGAGTCACATCCACTGATTGTGCACCGAGCCACACCTCTTCCGGTCAGCTAAGCTTGAAGCAATTAAGAACCATTAGATGTGGGTCGGTCTCTGCATCTGGATCATACCTATGTTTCACTTCTGTACAAACGCAGCCTTTTGTGATCGTCAGGCGCATAGCGAGTTGCCAAGTGATCGGTGGCAATCGGATGTTCCATCGGATCTATGCGGGTTTTACATATTAGACTCAATGCGCTCAGAGTGAGAACTCGGCAGCATCGAGTGTCCGTGAAAAGAGAGGGACACACGAGGAAAATACCATGGCTAGCCATTGTACCCCTGTGGGTCTTCTCAGCGCGGCGCAGGCAAGGAAGGCTGAGGAAGTAGCGGAAATTGTATCATAGCCGGGTTTCACCATCAGAATCCGCCTGACCCGAATGACGTGTGGAACATGGGTCAGAAAGACTCAACCGGATCCACCTTGCAGTGACACAATGCATCGCCACGTAGGTTGACGGTCGTTACCTACGAGTCGTGGGGCTACGGGTACGGTCCTTGTTTCCTCGTCCGGAACCGCCCCTTCCTTTGTTTCCCTTATCACCCTTCCCTCGGCCTTTCTCCTGCTTTCCTTTTCCTTTCTCGGCTTTCCCTCTTCCTTTGCCCTTCGTCGGTTGCCTCGTGTCATCAGCTTCATCGATGAGGCCTGTCACGTTTGAGCCAGTTCGGGATTTGCCTTTGGCCGTTGTTTCTTTGGCCGGGCCCATCGTGCGAGATCGTGGCTCAGTCGAAGCAGAATCGGATGGGGCTGGAGGTGCGGGATCCGCAGTCTCAACAACACGCTGTTGTGTACGCCCTCGCGCCTCTGCACTAGTAATCACCCGACCAGGGGTTGGCCGCACAATCGAAGGAGCCCATTTCTCGTCGCGGGCTGATTTCGAAGGTGGGTTCGAAGCAGTGCGAGTATTTGGTGCAGGGAACTTGGGGTTAATCCGTTCCTGCGTAGTAGCGGACGTGCCTCCAGGCGAGGCAGCTCTTCCCGCTCCTGTTTCCTCGGCAGAGGGAGGAACCACGCCAGCCGCCTTCATATTGATAGGGTCATCGGGATTTGCATTCATCGAAATGATGACATTGGCGACTTTCTTCCTGACAACAGGCAGCGTGTTCGGTGCGTGATACATGCGAATAATATCTTCAATCGTCGGGCTGTCCAAATCAGGCTCCGGAACCCGGGTCTTCATTCGCAGTACCAAGGGTAGACCCATTTGATCGGAGTAGGGTGCCCTTCCTGAGACCATCAGTGTCTCCCCATCAGCGTGGGGAACATTGTAGCCCGATTGCCTCGACATCTTCCGACTCGGTGGGTTAGACGGAGGCGGCATCTCGCGAGGCGGGGGCGGATTCGTCTCAGGAGCGATACCTCCGAGATGCTCTCGCCCAGTGCGTTGTGACTTCGGGTCGGGTCGGATCGCCCGTTCGAGCTCAGTATCATCCTCGTCCTCGTCATCCGGAGGAACGGGGACGGCATGAGCCTCGGGAATCGACGCGTGCCGTTGCTCAGTGGCCTGCACTCTGCGCTGAGGCGTATCAGCACGTCGTCGTGCCCGCTGAGCTGCGACGTCGAACAGATCTTGAGGCTCTTCTAGTTCATCGGGTAGAGCCTCGAAGACATCTTCGTTCTTTTTCATAAGAACAGGGTCAGTTCTCTTAGTATCGGGGAGCTGATCCTTTACACCTTCAACAAGATTGAAGAACGTCTTCTCAGTCGCGCGATCATCGTCGAAACATTCCTTAATCTTGACAGAGTGATCGCGAATGAACTCCTTGAATTCCTTACGCTTCTCATCAGGCGTTTCGGGGGCATCAAGGAGTGCCGTATTCCCATCAGCGAAAATCGTGAATCGGGAATCGGTATGGTGCGGGATGAACTTCCGCCCCAAAGGGTCCAAATCACGCCAATTGATGGCTTGGACATCGGGTTCTTCTTCTTCCCCTTTGTCTTTCCCTTTGGGCTTCTCAGTTGCCGCTGCAGTTCCTTCGATCTCCTCTGCTTCATCGTCAGAGATGTAGCCAGGTTCACCTTTCATCGGAATGCCGTAGCACGTTGTGAGGGTAACCTTGGCAAGGAGCGCGGAAAGGCTTTCACTATCGACACGCATGTATCGCTGATACTTTTGCGTGTCCGTGATAGTGGCACGGAACTCATCCAACGTTCCAAACTCGGTGGAAAGTCGAATTTGCCTTCTCATCGCCAGATTGGCGTTCTGCAATGGCAGATGCGCAAGCCGAATTTTCTCGACCATGTCTGAGTCGACGGTATAATCGATCGTCCCCCCTGTGTAAAAGGGGGAGAGATAGCCGCGCGACAGGCAGACTCGGTATGCGCGTTGACAGTGGATCGACCATCGTGCATAGTAGCACAGCGGCTTTTCGCGGCATGTGGCGAAGACCGCGCCGAAGTGCTTGACTATCGTGATTGCACAGGCGATCGATTGTGAGTTGAGGAACTCTTCCACACCGCACCGAGCTTCCTTACCAGTGATACCGGCAACAAGCCTCTCAATGGATATGTCCAATCGAATGGCGCCTTGAATCGTTCCGCGCACGCTCTTCTTGAACAATTCCACTTCTTTCGGCGATGTATCAGCTGCAGTGCATTTGATCGGTGGCACCCCGAAGAATGCGGTTTGCCTGTGGTCCTCAGCGAGTGACCTAGACACCGGGAAATTCCTCAGCTGCTTGATTGCAGGGTACTCGTGAAGTCGGAATTCTTTAAGCTCGTTTCGCTCACTGAGCTCGTTGAGCCATTCGGCATGACTCCCATAGTACTCGACCTGAAATGGGTTCACAGGATCGGCGTAGAACATCCCATCAGGATAGTGAATCGGTTTGGTGCAAGAGTGACACATGTGGAGACCCACCGGGAAGGATGCTCCGCACATGGGGCAGTCGAAACTAGCGAGCGGCCACGTTTCTCGTTTGTGGTCTCCTCTCTTGGGGCCAGTGCCAAACTTTGGACCTCCAACATATTTGAAGGCCGTGTTGAACACTAGGGATCCCGTGTCCATGAAGTATGCAATGGGCATACAGGCGAGAGGGATACTGTCTTTGATCGCATTATATCCCCTCAGGTGGAATACAATCGGATTGATTCCCGCCGCAATCATGTGCAAATCAATCGCAAACACGATCATGCGGTTGGATCCCATCCCTTCAGGGAGCATGGATTGTGATGATGCGGTGTTCGAAAGCGTCTCACGCCCCGGGTTCATTCGGACGTTCATGTACAACTCTTCCCAATCATTGTTGTTCCCAGATCCGGGAGCATACGGGAGCAGAGTGAGGAACAGCCGTCCTTTCGGAGGATTGATCTTGCAATCGCTCATGTACCCGAAGAATTCGCGAATCGCTGCGCATCCCCATCCATACTGAGGGTGGTATCGGGCCACATTTCTTTTCCTCTCGCCAGCGACGTAATGATCCTGAGCGAGCTGGATAAATGGCCCGTGCTGGCACTTGGTCAGCAGTCGGAATCGGTTGAAGTTATCAGGGCCGAAACCGTAGGTGGCTCGAATGCCAACAAATTGAGGACTTCCATCGTTGTCGATCGTCGAGTAGAAGAACTCAAACATTCGGTTGTTGTCCGTCCGAGCGATCTCCATAATGCATCGGGTAGTGATCTCGGTCGGTTCGCCTTGCTCATCCAGAATATTTGTCTGGAGAAGAATTCGGCCATCGTTCTCTCCGGCGTTGGCCTTCATGTATTCCCTCTCACGCTCCGTGTACATCGGAATGACATCGAAAGCGATAATGCCACTCTGGTCGAAGCGTGAATACAAGGGAATGCCCCTTTCTTGATCCTGGGGGCGATTCTGCGTTCTCTCGGCAGTAGCGGAAGGATACTCCTTCGTTTGCGTCAGCACTCGGAACAGCAGTTTCCGCACCAAGTTGATCATTCCTGCGTCCGGAATCCTGGCAGCAGGGATGTTTTGTGCGTCGTCGATCAACAATCGGCTGCATGACACGGATGTTCCGCCGACGGATCGGAACTTTGCCTCCTTAGTGAAGTGCCACGTTCAAGTACACCGTCTGATTCGAGGACAGCATAGCGAATCGGCGCCTCGAATACTTGCGCTGTTCGTCAGTCGGTGGGAGACAGGTCGCGGAGACCAGCCGACCATGGACGGAATCATCGATGCCCATGTCGAGTCCCGGGACGACGAAGTCAGTCAGTGCAATCGGGACGGACGTCATTTCATACTGCACAATCGGTGCAATAGAGTCTACACCCCTCTCGGGCATCTGGTCAGGGCGATGAATCGTTGTCGCCTTGATACCAGGGCCCTCGATCCGGAAGTTTCTCGGATCATTTGCCGCCTGATCGGCTGTGGTGCTGGCCGGGTCAATGTCGATATCCGGCCCTCGAGCACCGGAGAGCGCGGCTCCCTGAGCAACCATGTCACTCGGAGGACTGGAACGCACGCCGTGTTCCGGAGGGTTCTCAGCGGTTCGGGCAGCTGGCGGCGGGGCCTTGCCGGGGACCTCGTCTTGCAGCTCCTTCCCGCTACCCATATCTGCGTCCTCCTCGGGTTTCTGCTCGGGTTTCTGATCGGCCGTATCATCACCCATTTTGGTATCATCGTCATCCTCCTTTGCACTCTCTTCGGACGCCCTCGGAGGTGCTGCCGCAGTAGGCGGAGGAGGAGGAGCCACGTTTGGCGGAGGCGGCGCAGTCGCGCGCTCAGATGCGATACTAACCTGTTCAGTGGACGGAAGATCGTTGTCCGCCGCGCCTTCACCCTGACTACTCAGGGCACCTGAGGCATCACTGCGACGCGATGAAGAAGCGGCAATAGATCGGGCATGCTTCTGGAACTCACTCGCAATGAATTCAGCAGTGTTCCGCAGTTGTACTGCAACACAACGCTGGAACTGGGACAATCTGTCATCCCCAGATCGACCGGTAGTGCCGTAGCTCAAGTCATCGGTGAGCCCCATCAGGCTCTGCACTGGATCTTCCTCCGGCTTACGGAACTCAGTCACTCGTCGTTGCATGGCGAAGCCCGGTGGCAGCTTGAGGTCCTCTCTCGTCAACCTTGCCGCCGTGTTATTCACCAGGGCCACCCGCATGGATTGAATGACTTTTCCAGGGGTAGGCGCAATGAGGTCCGGCCAGTCATCGGGAGTTGGAACCTCAAGGTCCTCCGGCTTGAACACCATCTGTTCAAAGGACATCGCACCCATGCCGCGGTGTCGGATGGCAATCTGCAATGACTGGTATGTGTTGAGAAGCGATCGGGCCATACCATATGTTGAGGGAATGTGAGGATGGAACACAGGGAGGGTCGACATGCTTGCAACAACTGCATCCAGGTTGGAGATAATCGCACCAACTTTGGCTTCGAGCTCCCCCCTGTTTCCATACTCCGGGGTCCACCGTGCATCAATGGCGGACACGGTCTCACCAGTATCTCGGTTGATGAGCACAGGCGTAAATCGGTCGCTGGCCATCTCCCTGATGAGATTGCTGTTCGACTCAACTCGGCGTCGGCCCTGGGCCAGCCGGTTCGTGACAGCGTCAAGCGCATAGTCACCAGATCTTACGCCTTCGTAGTTTAAGACGAACACCAGCGTTTGACTTAGTCGCAACTTTTGGGTCAAGGAGCCTGGGCTTAGTATGAAGTGCTACTGGTGCGGTGTTGATCCTTGCGTAGAGCCGAGGGTGTTTTCAGGCCAGGTAAGCTGCGCCCGGCGGATACATGGCACCCTGGAACACATTGTCATCGTTGATGTTCGGGTCCATGACCCTGGCTAGCCCATCGGCAATGGATCGAAGGTGTTCGGCATTCTCAACTCCCGTGGCGCCCTTCGCCACTTCCGCGATATGCGCCTTCATCTTGGCAGCCTGTTCACGTCGAGCCTCAGTTTCACTGACTTGGCTCTCGAAGTGCGCATAGCCTTGGCGACCCTCGGCAGTAGGTCCCGCGGCTTCCACACCACTGAACGGCTTTGGCTTCTTCATCGTAGATAGAGGGATCGTCGGCACGGCAGGCGGTCGTGCAGCGTCCCGATTGGCGGCGACTGTTCGCTCTGCATCCCGGGGAGTAGGCAATTTCTCGAATGCTTCAGTCATTCCTTCGAGAAGCTCATTGAATTCCTCATCGGATTCCTCCTCCTTGACCTCAGGCATCACTGTATCGCCGTCCCCTTGCTGTCCGTCGCCATCGGAGCTATCGCTAGACTCTTCATCGTTCGTAGCAGCCGGAGCAAGGCCGGGCGACACCGGCATTGCCTGGCCAGGCACAGGAGTAGCGGGCAGCTCAATCGGATCCGGATGACGAACGCCCGGCAGATCAGCCAAAGTCGTCTGTTCCTGTTTGATCGGATTCTCAGGAGCAGTCGGACCTGCATCGTCAGCCATCTCTTCTTCATCTTCGTCATCGAAGCCAAGCTGACTCATGTCAACGGTCTTTGCGGCTCGATGATCGGCGCCGCGATCTGCCCCTTCGATAAGGTCCTGCACTGTGGAGTGCACAATGGCCTTCACCGTGCCCGTCGACCTTTCTTCCGGAACTGGAGAGATACGGGTACACAGGACCCCGATCGTTTTGGACTCGTGCATGATGTGATATCCTTTCAGGTATGGTAGTCCTTCCAGGATAGTGTCAAACGACAGGGAGAGGAAGTTGGACCTCCTGATTTCGTCCCAGATCGACCTCATCTCCTCTCTGTATTTCTCGAAGAGAGGGCCAGGAAGAGTCGGAAGGAAACCCATGCTCGGTGACACTGGTCCGCAAAGGGACACCGATCCGTAGATCGTGTTATACTTCTCAAGGGCGTCCCGGGCGGTCACTTTGGCGTATTGTGATCGTGCCATATCGATGTCACCAGTCAGCTTATTCCAGCCTTGGTCCATCTTCCACAACTCGTCTCCTTTCCAGAGGATGAGGATGTGAATGTTCGATGGCGGGACAGATGGATCACTCCGCATCAGTTCGAGAGTGTCTACCATCTCCTTGAGCTTTTCGCCCTCATCAAACGCCTGTACCCGAACTTCGGACTCAGGGAATCCAAAGCTTGCCAGCGGTTCTTCAGATGGGTGTTCATCTCACCAGCGTGCCAGGATTTGGCAGATCTGAAGGTTAGCAGGCCATCGTGCATGACAACGAATCTCTGCGGCTTGCTGGGTACTGCCGGCTTGATCGTTGGTGGAGCACCTCCAAATGCAATCGTGGATGCCATGGTCGTGACCGTTCTGATCCCGTGAATCGAGACAGCCACAAGGGCATCGGCTGGGCTCCAAATAGGCGCGCCAATGATATCCGTCGTATTTTCTTCATCGTATACGATACCCTTGATATTCTTGGCGGGCGTGTAGCCGAAGTTGCCGAGCAGAGCACCGTATGCCTTTCGGTAGTGCCTGCACCATACCTCCCACTCTTTGGAGGGTCCTCCGGCAATTGTCTCGAGCTTTGTAGGCTTTGGCAAACCTTGGCTGCCTTCCTCACCCAGGATGGGTGCACGATACTGAAAGAAAGGAGCAAGCTCGATTCGGTAGCTAGAGGACTGGAGCTCGGATAGCAATGCATACCTTCCACCGACAGTGGCTTGCTCGCTCGTCCCGTACGAGTCGGGCATCCAGTGATTGCGTCGAAGCACTATCGGGTTGACGGTGATTCGCTCCGTTGCCTCACCACCACCCGCCGCAGCCTGATCATCGGCCGCGGTCGCTACAGGCTGCTCCGTCTCGGTAGATGCAGCCTGTTGGGTAGTGTTGCCCCCTTGAGTCGTGAGGTCGGCAAACTCAACATTGTCGCGCGCGACACTGTCTCCCAGCAGTTTCAGAATGCGAGGATCGATCGGGCTCGCCTCCATCCACGGGTGCCAGGCCACGGCTTTCGTCCCATCGGCAGTGAGGAATCGGTGTCCGTGGACGACGTACTTCGGGGAAGTAGAAACCCCTTGCTCGCGGTCATCCAAGAGGCGGAAGGGCCTGAAAGCGATTCCGCACAGCTCGAGAAATCGAGTTCCTACGCGGATCTGCTTCTGGGATCCCCCCATCTTCTTTGTCGTGCGACTGTGGCTGTTCACCATAGTTCGGGAGACGCAGATCATCACTTGGAACCAGTAGCCACCGCCGAGGTATGTGCCAGACGCATAGCTACCAGCAGCCTCGGGGGCGTTTCCAGTCACCCAGACGCAGGGTTCGTGACTTCCGTGATCGTCCGTCACGTAATCTTCCCCGAATAGGCCTCCGTGCGCAAGGATCGACCAGAGGTATCGGAGATTCGTTCCGTGAAGGAACGTTTCCTGAGGATCGTATATGTCCGAATTCATCGCTGGGACATACACCCATCCGTCAGTTGGGCGGATGGTGATCTGTGACGCACCGTCCTCGTAGGTCATTTGGGTGCTGGCTCCCCAGTTGAGCGTATCATCGATGCTGACGCATCGTCCGGGGTAGGCCTCAGCCATCGCCTTCATGAACGAGACCCACCCGCGCATCATCGGGTTGTTTTCATCGTCGTCTTCGTTGCGAAAGGCGGCCACTTCACCAATCCCATTCGCATCCACGGCGGGAAGATCGTAACCGTGTTCCTTGCGATCATTCTCGAGATGAGTCGCCTGCTCTTTCAGAGAATTCAGCGTGGGAAATCGGTTAAGGGCCTTGATTGCCAGAAACGCTCCAGGGATGAAAGAAAGTGTCGGCCTGAGCTGCAGAAATCCCTTGAAGAACTTCGCGGCTTCAGCCGGGTTGACCACATCCCTTGACAACTCAATGGGCGACAGCTTGGTGAGGTCGTTGTGTTTGATACTCGTATCGGTCCTCAACCATCGCTGTTCCGCAGTCGAACTGCTGTATCCCATGAGATTTCGATTCCAACTCGCAAGAGGCGACGGAATGTAACAGGTTCCCATGAGACGGAGCGTATCGTTGCTCAGTGTCTCTCGAGACCCCTTAAAGGTTTGCGCTTGGAAGTGCATACAGTGGCGAGCCAGTGCCATCGTAAGGTCCATTTTCTCGCGGACCCCTGCGGCATCACCAGACAACGTTGCCACTCGGGAAAATGCAAGAGCGCACATCACCCTGTATCGGTCGATGAAGTCCATAAACTCTCGGGGGTACTGCTTCCTCTGCTTATCCGCAAGCGGATGATTAGAGAGGAGGAAGGAGTCAACTAGCTGATGCAGCTTTTGGTCGAAACCAGAGTTGCATGCCAGCTGTTCAAGGCGCTGCCAGATTGAGGCCTGTGGGATCTCTTGGACCCCGATCTTCAGCATCATTGCTTTCATCCTCAATCCTATCGGAACGTCCTCGGAGCGCTTCCCACCCCCAGTAGACTCATCTCTCGGTGTCTGAATCGGGACTGGGGCTTCATCGGCGCCCATGTTGGCGTCATCCTGCTCCGTAGGGATCGGCGGAGCAGGAGGCCTTTCCGTAGTTGGCGCAATCGGGCCGCTCGGAAGGCCTTCCCCGCAAGGCGAGGGAGATTTCGGCTGAGGTGATCGGGCAGCCGGTGTCTTGGCGGCAGCCTTCTTCGGTGGCTGCTTGTTCTTTCCTCCCATCGTTCAGCAGCGGCGGCAGCGCGGAGAAGTTCGCAGCCCGTGGCAGCTACAACCTGTCCTAGCAGGGAGCGCAAGTGGGCTATGGACTGAGTCGTAGTAGAGGTGGTCTGTGATGGTCGGTTGACGAAGGTGATCCATGATCGTTGCCCTTAGAGCTCCTTACCAAGCTATAGTCAAGTGTGAGTGTGCAAGTATGTGCATGGCCTTGGCGTCTTTGTTTAAGCAATCGGCAACGCGGATTGCTGTGAGCCAAAAACCGCAGAATTCATGAAATGTTCTAGCACAGCCCACAATGCAAATCGAAGCTCTTTCGGGTCGACCCTTTTGGCCTTCTTGTGATTGCATGCAAATCGTGACATGAAGATGGGCCCAAACCGGGCAGGCATGAAAATCTCGCACATCCACGCATGCTGAGAACATCGACCAGAGGAGCACGAACACAGCTTAACTGGGCAAAGCTCGTGCGATTCAGACCATCGTCTTATGTACTCCCTACCCCACAATGGGTTTCCCTTCGGTAGCACAAGGAATGCAGGGATTCCAGATGACCGGGCAGCGGAAGCATACCCGAGTAATTTCTTGGCTTCCCATCCTTTTTCTTTGAGGTCGCCCCTCATTTCTTTCCAACCCCTGCTCTTGAAACCGGCTTCTCTTTTGTTAGCGGTGCCAGCAATCGGAACGGTAACAATACATACCGCAGGCGTAGGCGGAACCCTGATGTTCGAAATAGCAATCCCCTTTGCATTATCGTCGAGACTGAGATTGATACTTCGAGCATGAGGGAATCGGATTATGCCTTCGCCTCCGATATGAATACATTTTATGGCTGCTCCGAATTGGTGAGCATCATCAATTGAAATACCCCCCTGACGAGACATGTCGAGGATGAAATCGTTGAAGGGGCTGTGACCAGTTTCAAGATGTACCCCCCTGGTTGGACAGACAGAGGGGAGAGCAGAGAGAGCGGGAGCGGCAGACAGCATACCAGAGGAAATAAGAGTACCTTTACGAAAATGACCAATAGACATAAGGTTGCGACCCCACACTTTAGCATCAGTGCAGGCCTTGGTCAGGATATCACCAGCCTCAAACTGAGAGGGACACGTCACAAACAGAAAGTCACCAGCGTGGTAGCGTTCATTCAACGCAGAAATATCGATACGCTGGGTACGAGACATATGACGCATATTAGGATTGTGACCAGTGATAATGACTCGGATGGCAGCTTCATTGTCTTCCATGACACGCAAACGGAAACGACGGCCCAACATATACTCCCACATGGAGAGAGCGGGCAATCCCAGTTTATAGACGGCGTGATCAAGGGAGACAATTTCGGCTTCGGGAGTAGACTTCGACACAGAAGTCTGCTTCTTGGACAGCGCATTATAAGAGGCATAAAGCTACGCGGGCCAAGAAGACACATGAATACGCCAGACGTGCTCTTGGAATCAGTGCGGTCGCCCGCAAGATCAGCATCGCAATAGAGCACAAGCTCCAACATCTCGGGCGCATCACCAATCCAACCATATAAATTGAGATCGAGGGTGGAATTGATATAACACACCAAACGATGAAGCTTCTTGTCACACAAACCATCCCACTTGGTGATGAGACTAGCAAGTGCCTGCACAGGACGGATGAGATCGTATCGTCCCATGCGAGCACCATACAAGATTTTCATCAGGACAGCGGCAGCGCAGTCACCGAGAACGCCCTTACCAGGAGGCACAGGCGTATCGGTGGGATGGCCCAACAAGCGGTTCACCTCGGGACGATCCGGATTAGTATCGAACTCCGGTCGTGACTCATCGAGAAACGGCGTGTCAGCCGACCGCAAGGTGGCTTTGTATTTCGGACCACAGAGCTCAACATAGCGAGAGACACATTGCTCCATGAACGAGCGCATATCGTACTTGATCATTCGGATTTCGCGAGGACCGACAGAGCCCTGAGCGACAGTAGTGTCATGATCGCCAAAAGTGAGCTCGGGAAATGCCTTCTTGGGTTCCTCGAAACGCGTCCAATAGGAGCGCGGATCAAAAGAATTAGGAACAACATGTGAGAAAGTAACACGCTCACAACCCAAATAACGTTTGATGCTCGAGGGCGGCTCCAGTTTAATCTTTGATGCCATGAGCTCCCACCCTTTGGCCAGATTGGCCTTTGGTCCACTGAGCTTAAAATCATCGACGTAGACCACGAGCATAAGGTTAAGCTTGGGATGGCGAAACACGCTCTTCCAGTCAGGGCATTGCTCGAAGCCAACGGAGCGGAGAGCCTTTTCGCAATGCTGTTCCCAGAACCCACCGGCATCCGGGTGCCCATAAAGGGCCAATACAAGACGCACAACCGGGTCATGATACTTTCCATGCCATTCGGGCAGCCATCGATCTTTGGGCAGTCGCACCCATGTGGCGGGGCCACCAAGCTTAGCTTGAGTGTAGGCGGACTCGCCGTCAGCAACTTGTATTTCGTGACCGGGCAAGAGACCGAAAGCATCAGCGGCCTTCCCTGCCTCCATGGTCGCGGGGCATGAAGTTATCTCGGAGAACATCGCCCAATTGTTGCCTTCATCTTTGACATGACAGCCCTCAAACACGACACGACCCTTAAATTTTCGATTTGGATCGGATTCTGGAAGCTCGGAGTTCTTCTCAACGCATATATCGAAGATACGACCAACATGGGCCGTCTCCCCTTTTGCCATGGCCTCGTTAGACACATCGCGCCATTCACGCACTGAAGCGTAATCCCAGCAGCCCTGGTTGATAAGTTTATTCCACTCCTTATCAAGGGCGGCCTTGGCCTTGGGATTAGCGGCACGTTCTTTTCGATCAACAGGCCGTGCGACACACGCGCTGTAAAAGAACACCGAAGAGTCTGGAGAGCGATGCGAATGAGGATCGGAACGAACAGACATCGCAGGTGCTGCATCGGTATCCAGACAATCGTTGGAGGGTTCTACCGGTGCAGATGTACCATCCCCGGTATCCTCATCCGTGAAATCAAGTTCAACTGCGGCTAGCACGGAAGTATAAAACTGAACCACTGCCACATCCTGTCCTGGTTCGACAATAAGATCGGTGTCGGTAGGATTAAGGACGTCGACCCCGGATTGGGTGGCCCCTTCGTTGTACGTATACATGGCCGGACAAATATCGAGGCCACTACCGCGAAGCGGCTGAAGGCGGGCCGACATGCCGCTTGGGGGATCGAATTCAAGGTCGGTAACAACACAGACGCGGGATTTAGCAGGGACTACAACACGTCCCTTCGCACGCAAGGCGTGGCCATAATAGCCGTTCGCCGTTTGCACTCGGCGCTCTGTTCCGTCGTTATTCGGCAGACTGGTTCGAACCTTGACCTGTGTTTTGGCAGAAGAACCGATAACGAAAACGGTCTTTCCTGTCCATCGACATGGCAGAGATCGCACATCGGATGATCTCCATGAATCCTGCAACGTAAATTCCGTGCCATCGGTCATGGCCATAGTCATCCTCACATCAGTCAAGGTCGCAGGATCGACAGGACAGTCCTTCACTGAGGTGGGATTAAAGCGAGCTCGGCGCTCGATCACATGAAATCGGGTGACCGTGCCAGCTGCGACATCGTGATACCAGTAATCCTTATCATGCCGTTCAGCACCCGACTCATATTCGGAATCGAAAGCGATGTCGACAGGAGCGGCATCGCGAGAATCCTCTCGGGACATGGCGTGAGACTCAGCTTCTCGGCGCTCAGCCTCGACATACCCCTCCCGTTCGGCGCGATTCATGCTGCGCCAGGATTCTGAGTCGATAGAGTTCGGTTTTCGAGACCCTCTGTAGACACGCTCGGAGCGCGGCACACTCTGACGGTAAGGCAAACCCCCCTCGCCCTCCAGGACCTCCGACCCATGGTAAGGAGGTAACTTCTTCTTGGATGGGGCAAAGCCATCATCAAAGAATTCGACAGTGCCTGTCTGTCCAGAGCTGCATGAGTCTCGTCTTGCCGAAGGCATTGCCGGTTTCGTAGATCGTAACCGGGCTTTTATCCTTATACTGAACATGCGAAATACGCACTGTGCTCAGCTTCCACGGATCAGGCGACTCGCCAAGAGATCCGGGAGTCTTACTGGGATGAATCATCGCCTTTCTCGGGACGACTACGTGATAAGTCCACTTATGACTCGATGGATCATAATCCCAGTAGTCGACACCTCCTCCATGAGAAGATTCGGCTCGTAACTCGGCCTCACGAGCCCGCCGAACATCTTCTTCGGTCATTCGGGTCGGCTCGTCGAGGGCAAATATTTCATCGATATCTTCGAGTTCGAGCATATCAGAGGCGTCAAGGCGCTCACTAGATTGAGGCGCACAGGATTGCATCGCAGGATCGTTGATGCACATTGATCGAGTCTGCTTGTCGTACACGGCGAGCATCGGGAACGTCCATCGCTCCTTGGGTGAACAATATATCTTCTTGACTTGATGGACGCTCGCACGCAATGCATCGCGTTTGAAGTCTTCTAAATCGGCGACAATGTAGTCACCGTCCCACTTGCCCCCGTTCTCAAAATGATAACCCAGAAAAATACCAGGCTTACTCGTAGGGGAGAACTTACTGGGGCGTTGGTAAGACGACAAGCGTTGATCAACGTCGGCGCCCTGAAGAGTGCTAGATTGATCATTGTCTCCATCATCAATCCACTCAAGATAACCATCGTCATCGAAACCAATTTCGACATCAATCAGTCCGTCGGCTCCAGGCGCAGGTACGGCGTACTCCTCACCATCGCCGAGGACGACTTCATCTCTCTGACTCCGCCGGGTCTGTTTTCGTGCCGGCGTAGGATAGAAGTCAACAAGGCAACCAAACGGCAGAAATGCCAGTCCGGGGCTAACCGGGTCCTTTCCATTATGGAACCGGGTCCTACGACTTATGTTGTTGATGTGACATGGAATGTAGCAAGACATGTGTGTTCTTGTGACTCAATGGAAGACATGCTGGACATGTGAAAACTTGTGCTCTTGCGGCTCAGTGGAAAAACAAAACCTGAAAACTTGGTCTCTTCCAAATGAAGATGCATACCTGAAAGACTGTGTTCTTGTGGGTCTATATGGAAGAAGCGAGATGCTGGACATGTACAAAAAGATGTGTGCTTGTGGCTCGATAGAAAAATCAATGCCTGAAACTTGGTTTGATCGAAATGTGAAAACATGTACATCGAAAAATCAAAGCCATACTGACATAATTGCCTGTCCCAAGTTTTGTAGTTCACATGGAATTTCTTTGTTGCAAAATATTTTTGAAGATCAAAATATTTTTTGAAGATTCGTTTGTGCCGAGCAAACCAAACATATGCAACTTGGTGTTCTTGTGGCTCAACGAAAACAAGAAGCTTGAGATTTTGTGTTCTGAAACCCTAAAGTCAGCTTTTTGTACCATTCACAACGACTTGAAAATTAGCGTGTGCGTTCATGATTAAACATCAAAGGGAAGCTGAACTTTCGTAACGTCCAGCCCATGCCCTAAACCCTGAACCCTAAACTCTAAACCCACCCAACCCCCAAACCCGCCCACCCATTCAAGCCCAGAAGCTGCAGGTAGGAAGGGGCACACAGGTAGGTAGAGAGGTATAGTTAGGTAGGCAAGTAGGTATGGATAAGTAGATTGGCAGGAGGGAAGGTACTTGTTGGTGTAGGTGGGTCGGCAGGCTTCCAGGTCGGTGGGTAGGTAGATAGATAGCTAGGTAGGCGGGCATGTAGGTAAGGAGGCATTGATCAGGAAAGAGGCTTAAAACCCCTAAACCCCTAACCCCTAAACCTGAACCCTAAATCCAACACCCGAAACCTTCAACTAAGCCTCAACCCTAAAAGGTAGCAGGCAAAAGTAGTTGTAGGCATTCGTGCAGGCCCTGTCAGGATGTCAGGTGGCCACATCAAGGTCTTCGGAGCCCCGTACAGGGGCGTACCCGCGCCAAGGCCTGAATGGGCCGCGGGATGAACCCCGAATAGGGGTGAGCTTGGACCCCGAAGAGGGGTCGTCGGAGCCCCGTACAGGGGCGTACCCGCACCAAGGCCGAAAGGGCTGCGGGATGAACCCCGAAAAGGGGTGAGCCTGGACCCCGAACAGGGGTCGTGAGAACCCCGTGCAGGGGTGTGGATGAACCCCGAACAGGGGTGAGCTTGGACCCCGAACAGGGGTCGTTAGAGCCCCGCACAGGGGCGTACCGATGAACCCCGAAAAGGGGTGAGCCTGGACCCCGAACAGGGGTCGTGAGAACCCCATGCAGGGGTGTGGATGAACCGCGAACAGGGGTGAGGATGAACCCCGAGCAGGGGTGAGCCGGACCCTCAAAGACTGATGCAGAGAGAGAGAGAGGGAGAGAGAGAGAGACACAGCGAAAATAATTAACGAAGCAAGGAAGGAAGCAAGGAAGGAAGGAAGCAGGGAAGGAAGAAGGAATGATCAAGATGAGGGTGTGACTGTAGATGCGAGGAATGAGCAGGCAGCAAGGAGTGATGTGAGGGAGGCGGGAAGGGAAGGAAGAGAAGGAAAGTCATGCATGGCATCAGTATCCCTCTGCTCACTTTCAGTCTGTCGGCGGCCAGGCTGAGACAGTCTGCGCATCGAGATCCTCGAAGAGCCCCGGCCTAAGCCACACGGCCTTCCAAGACTTGACGGCTGCACCATGGGTTGCTTCCAAGCTCAACATGTTGAACTGCAGCAGCTTTTCAGCTCAAGATTCAACGCGATCGAACCGTTTTTGTCTGAGCGAGTGTACTCCGACTGAGGCGATTGTCCTCATGCAAACAAGGCAGTATTATTGACATGCGCATACACGCAGATCGTCAAAGACACGACTAGGAAAGAAGTGCCCCAGTTCGACGTACTGCCACGGAAGTGCAGCAATGGATCGAACGGATTTTGGCAGGCTTCATGGACCTGAAGGAAGTGACGATGACGATCGAACGACTCCTTATCATTCGGATGATAGCGATGGTTCCGCGGCCGATGCCACTACGGAAATGGAAAGAAACATGTTTACGAGAGAAGAATTCCAGCGAATCTGCACCGACCTGGTGCTGGGATGTGTCATGATGAACTTGTCAATGGGATGGCAAATGGAGCGGGCTTTTTTGAGCGATCGGCAACTACGAAGTTTGCTACAGCACTTCCAAACCAAGCACAACAGACGCGGATCCTCTGCAGGTGATATTGTGGAAGCAGGTGTACAGGAACGGATTCCAACAATGCAGAAAGTACGCATGGTTCGACAATGCGACGTACTCCAAGGAAAGTTGCGAATGGAAGTGAACCCGGTAGATGCAGAGAGATTGCGGGGCTTGGTTGAGCAGCCTCCCGGCTGGGATTGGGATTTGCCTGATCGAGGAACCATGGAAAGGCTTTGCGAGGGCATTCTGGCCAACTCGTTTGAGTTTGAACGGATTCCAGTGACGGATGCTAGACGGATGGCAGTTCAATACTGCGAGGTCATCCGTCCACTGTTCGCTGTGAGATTCCTGTCAATGGTGTTGCTGGGCATGCGGGACACGTACAGAGATCAGCTTTGGTTTCTGCTTCGCAGGCATGGAAGAGTCCTCAACGTATAGACGGACTGTACGTATACGCAGTCTCCGAAAAACTTAAAGGGACTGATGTACGGATACACAGTCTCACAATAAACCAGCAATGGCGAGAAAAAACGTGTCACTTGCTTAACAAATTGCTTGACGCGCCTTACTAAATTGCTGGACCTAAACCCTGAACTCGTCGACCTGAGGTCAAGCCTTCTTCATGCCAAATTCGCTGGCAAGATCGACATCGTGTTTGGAGGCTCGTCCGGCTGCTCATGTTTGCATAAACCCTAAACCCTAAACATCCGGCCGGTACCACTCCAAGATTGCGCGCCCGGCACGCGTACGCCTGTGCGCCCGGAGCGCGTTCGCCTCAACTCCCGGCGCGCAGACCTGTGCACGTTGCAAACAGACTAAAGAATTGTATTATCACGTCCGGCACGCCCGGCGTGCACCCGCTGCGCGCCCGGCGCGCGCCCGCTGCACACCCGGCGCGCGCACCCTGGGTATATTTGGTTTTGGGTGGTAAACGACCGCCACATGTCATTCCTGCGCGCCCGTCGCAACCCGCTGCGCGCACATGTGTAAATTCTGTTGCAAGCATAATATTATGGAATAGTGTAAATATAGTATAGTACACGCTTACACTTCGCGCGTACGCCTGTACGTGCGGCACGCGCCCGCCCGCGCGCCCAGCGCGCGCGCCCGGCGCGCACCGTTGCAAGCAGAATATTATGGAATAGTGCAAATATACTACACGCGTACACTTGCTACGTATACACCTGTGTGCCCGGCGCGCGCCGGACGCGTGCCGGGCGCGCGCCGGGCGCGCGCACTCGGCGCGCGCCGTCGCAAGCATTATTATTATGATTATTATGCTATTGAATGAATTGAATGTTCATTTCAATGAAGCATTCAACTCACATGTACAGCTGCCCTCCCGACGAAAAGAAATACTCGGTATTTATGGGTTTGCGTCAGTTTACCGCCCGCCACGCGTACTCCTGCGCGCCCGTCGCGCGTATGCCTGCAGGACCCGCTGCGCACACATCCGTAAATTCATGTCGCAAGCAGAATAATATTATCGAATTTGTAAATATACTTGCACGGCCGGCGTGCGCATGCGTAACGCAAGCAGAATAATAACCAACAG